CACGTGTCTATGGACTGCCTGCGTCATGTTGAGGTCCTCCTGCGGCCAGCCAGGTCCCCCAATCTTTCCCTTTCAATCAAACATGCGTGAGATCAGCTCGGGTGTTAACTCAGACCCAGCGTCAATCTGCAGGATCTCGAGGGCCAGTTACAACATCTGTGGGCCGACTTGCCACAGGAGAGGATACAACGGCTGTACAACTCCCTTACACACCGTATCGCTGCATGTATCCAGGCCGGGGGGGGTTTGGTGCCCTACTAACATGGGACTAGCAGTGTGCCCATACTGCCAACTCTGTTGTCCGTTTGATCTGATATTAGTCACTGCGATACAGTCACATGACCTTTCACCACGTGCAGATTCATTTCATTTCCACCATTCTGTCTGGGTGCTTAACTTTTTTTTGTCACTGAATATATTCAATAGTTCGCTATAATTAATTAATAAAAATACATGTTATTCACACAGATTTCTACTCTATCGATTATATGGGATAGAAAATTCAAATTAAGTTAACAGGCCATTTCTGCATCTCACAGCAGGACCTGTTAGCCTGGAGGCCATTCCTGGAAGCATGGGGCAGCCAGAACATACATTAATATGCTTATTAACACAAGGTATCTTTATTTTAAATTAGCTGTCACTTTGGCTATAATCAGTATTGTAATAATATTTAAATGAAGCTTAATTAAGACACAAGAAGTTGTGTCATGGCAGCCCATACTCCCAGCTTGTTATCTACCATCGCTGTCACCATACGGAGCTGCTTGTCTTGGCCAGAGCCCGGGATTCATTAATCGCATGTCAGATCGCCGCCCGGCCCTCGACAGCTGCATCCCTCCGTACCTGTGGCCCAGTAATAGATGTCCCAGTCATTACTTGGCTCGTTGATCAGCCGGTCATACTGCTTTAGCTGAGCCTCAGTCATGGTGTTCAGGTATTGCTTGGCAAACAAACTACAGTGGGATAGAAAACCAGAGAGCTTCAACAAGGACCGGCAACAAGCAGGCCATGGGTAACATACAGCAGTGCCAGAATTAAAGCTTTTAATAATGAAAGTCAAGATAGAAGCCCACACATGTACCAGGACTACAGGAAGAGTTCAAAACTGGAACAATACAGCCTACTGCTGGAGGCCTTCAAAGTCCTGCGGTGTCAACTGTTTCGACAGATGATTACACCAACAATTATTACAGCACAGTGATAAGCGACAGCTCTGGCCCTTAAAGCTGTAACACTTGAACCGGAAACAAATACCAATTTACAATAAAAGTCTAAAATAATAAGTGGGGGAAATAGTTCGCTGAGGAACACTAAATGACGCATGGCACTAGAACGCCAATGTTGGGCCAGATTTGCTGCATTTTGAATTTTAAAATAAGGAGTTAGATTATGAATCTATTTAGCAGATACTGTCATCCAAAGCCGCGTACAACTGAGAGCGGAGTCAGCCAGTGTCCCTGGTGCAATTAGGGTTAGGGGCCCTGTGATGAAATCCCACACAATCACACCCTCTAATTCTAGGTAACACCACATGCACATAAGGCATACAAAACCCGGCATGACAAACGACAATTCTTTAAAGAGATGTCAGGTGAATAATATCACTGCTGGGAGCGATGAGGCTTTGCGTTTACAGTGGGCGGGATGCGGCATTTGCGTCATTTACTTCGTGGGTTCGCTTCAGGTTAAACGAGGCCCCAAATGACATGACCTCTGCTCAGTTCCCATCAATAATGTTCACCTTTTGACTACATGATGTGTGAAACACTGTGCAGATGGACCAAGCTGCCAGTCTGCGCTCAAACAGCACCTCGCCTCTCTCTTGTTCACTCCTATTGAGCTAAAAAAACATTCAGTTCTCACATATTAGTAAAATAAACAATGATGTCTCTCACTGTACTTTTACATCGATGCATTCATTATTTCTTCAGAATGAAAGCGGCAACCGAACCTCTAAGTGGTGAATGAGCTGAAGAAATCCCTCGTCCCCCCATACAGAAGATGACTTCTCGTCCTCTGCAATCATCTGCATTACTTTAAGCACTTCTGTCTTTGGCTTTGGTGCTGCTAACTTTTAATACTGATACAGTTGGCAACATCAGTGAAGATCAACACATCAGACCAATATTGATGTCTTAATTTTTAACTAATTTCAGGCAATGCCAATATGTTAACTGATACGTTGTGCATCTCTAGCAAAATATTTATTTTCTTTTTGGTATTTATATAGCTTTTTTATCGATTACTCAAATTTTAAGTTACACGATTCAACAAATTAATCGTTAGATTAGTTGACTAATCAGAAAATTAAAATGAAATAATCGGTAGGTTGATCAATGCAAAAATAATCGTTGGGCACAGCCTAACAGACTGTCAGAAACCCAAAGACATGAAGTTACATTTACATATTTAGTAGATGCTTTTTTTCCAAAGCGATGTACAAGTGAGGCAAAGTGCACACTGTAAACATTCATACTGTCAAGCAGTCAACTAGGCATTAGTGCAGCTATGCGGTTAGGCTAATCAGCATTGTCCACAGAGCGTGTGTATGCACGCGCCCTATGGTGGCCTGGAACCTATCCAGGGTGAACCCCTTCGCAGTGCTACCTGAGATTGTCTCTAGGTCCCCAGTGACTCTCCCCAAGTGGTTAGAAGATTGATGGATGAAACACAGACTATGTGTTACTCACCAAAAGCATTACATCCACACACAATCACTTAAAGGTGGATCACATTGGCTTTAGCACGGATCAAAACCTACTTGACACCAATCATAGAGATTTCAATCGCTGACACAATTCATACGACTCAAATTGGATTTAACTAATAGACTCGGGCAAGACCTCTCTCCTAACAGTCTCTGCAGTAAAAATGATGTCATGCTGAGAGGTGTAATTGCTGTTTTAATTAACAGTTTCAATCTGACAGCTTTCACTTTGCAATTTGTTACCATATCTATTACTAACCTGAGTAGGATGCAATTCTCCAACATGCCTCTCTTGCGACTCTCATACAGAAGCCTCCGCCTCTTTATGTCAATGGGCTCCCCCGCTCTCTCCTCCCAAGGCGGTAAGGGAATCTCCATCATGTTGCGGCCGGAATCTCCTGGTGCCTCGCCGCGACATCCCCGGGCTGACACGGTGCCAGCCAATGCCGACCGCCATGCAGTCTGACGAAGTCTGACGGCCAGCTGGAACGACGGCGACAAAAATCTTTAACATCAATAATATGAAGTACACCCACAGTGGCATCGAGAGGACAGGCCGTGGTCACGTTGTGGATTGGAGTAACCCGTAGACAACCACTGAACATGCACCCAGTTAAACGAGTTTATAAAGATCATCCGAAGGGCATGAATTGCTTACCGATGTCCACGAAAACTTATAGCGTGGACATTGACTTTATAAGGAAGTGCACTGCTCTCAGTTTGGACTTTGTAGACAACGTACAGAACCTCTTAAAGTTACCAAACTTCACACTGACGGAGAGAACACCAATGCTGCTTTTTACTGAATCGCAGGATCACTCAGTCAAATATTACATATTACATACACATTACACTGGTTTATTATGAGCCTCAAAACGTCTCTTAAAATGTGTACGCGAAGATTAAAAACCTGCTATGAGACAGGAGAGCTAGGTGGACGAATTTTGCATAAAATTAATGTCATCTCACTACTTGAAAATTGTACAACAAATCAGAAATAATCCGAATAATGTTTTATATTAAAGGGAGGTTGGAAATATTTCCCCAAAATACGTACTCTATTAGCTGCAAGCATCGCCTCTCCGCAGGTCACACTGCTCACTAATCCGTACGGAACCAAACGCCTAGAAGGAACTCACTCGAATTCACGTGACTCAGAGCCGCCATATTGGACAGGGCATTTACCAATTTCCGTATTCAAAAAACCTAAATTCAAATAACAGGGGTAAAATGTAATTATTATAAAATTATCATTTAATATGCTGTAAAAAAAATTGTAAAACAGTTCCTTTAACGCAGCTGTGGGTCAGCTTCATATCTAAGTTTCGTCCCGAAGGCGGAACGTTATGTCTTTATCAATGTTTCACACCGGACTGTTTACTACGCTGCAGCCGATGTGGTTCCGCTGTGCTCGGCGTTGCAGAGGGGAGGGAAGAAGGGAGGTTAGGTACAAATTTACGTTGTACTGAAACGGATTGTTTGCAAAGAAAAGGACAATGACTGTTGATGATTTAACTGTCAGGAATATATCTGTACTTGGTAACCAGGTAGGAAATGAATCGTGACATTAGCCAGTTAGCTACAGGTTATCGTTATATTAGGACATAGAGTTGATCGCAGTCGCGAGTTTTATTACCGAATTGCTGCACTTTGCAACTTTGATATCAAGTTGGCGGAACGCATATGAAGGGCTCGAATTTGAGACGTTATATTTAAATCACCCACATACTCAGATTTTTTTGGTTTGGAGTTAGGCAAGGTGAAAGGCTTCTGACAGCAACTGAATTGTCAACACGAGTTGGCGGGGATGGCGGCAGCGGGCCCGCCAGGCGCAGTGGATCTCATTGACATCTACGGCGACGAGGAATTCAATCAAAGCAATTCCGAGGTGAGACGAGCTGTGCCTCGAAAGCGTGGGGCGTTTTTCATTTAGGCATGTAGTCTAGGGTTTAACGCAGAGCGGGCTTTTCAGCTGCCGGTAATGATGCAATCAACGGTGGAGAGCACAATGTGGGACACGGTTCTGACTGAGTGACTGTCAAAACGAGTAAAGTTAAATGAAATGAAGGTTTGTAAAAACTATTAGCATATAAAAATCCTTTGAGAACGCAACGTCATTGCCTAGTACGAACACCCGACTACCTAACCTTTGGGGCAGTCTCACTGTGGAATGTTGCATCAGCGTTTATAACCGATTATTTATCCAGTGGTAAATTTTTGTTTTGCTCCAGTATCGGAGAAGTATTAAAAGAGGGATGAATTTTCCGTGTAGACCTCCTTTTGTCAGTACAAGCCAATGTTGTATAATAATAATAAGAAGAATATCTAGTTTCTATTGATTACAGTATTTTTTCATCCATTTCTTCTTTATGCTAAAAACTGGTCTCTTGTGCTCCTCTTCCTATTTGATTACCTGATGGCATTTTCTATAACAGTCAGTGTAAACTTCTAACCAGTAATGTACCTAACCAGTTTCTCCCCCAGGATGGGGCATTTGTTGGGAGAACCGAACACACTGATCTCTATGACGATGTGCTCACTGGATCTGTGACCCAGCGCAGACTGTCGGGAAGTGAGTCCAGCCTTCCCAGCAAGGCTGAGGCCACAAAGTCGGAGAACAAGCCAGCAATACTCTATACGTACAGTGGGGGGAGAAGCAAGAGACTGGCAGTATACGTGGGAAATTTTTCCTGGGTGAGTGACAGCACAATGCTAGACATACCCTCTGTGGCAAACACACTTTATGCTTTATGCTCTCCATCTTACCATGTGATTTGCATGCTGTGTTACATAAACACAAGATCGCTATGGTGCTTGTCTTAATGTCTGACCTGCTAAGTCACCATGGTGGCAAATCTGGCGCCATTGACTCTTAACTCAATTTGCCAGTTGCTTTTTTTGCATTCTTTAGCACCCTCTACCGGATGCTTAGTGCAAGAACATCTTATAGGCCTGAGCGGGCTGTACTGCATGGGAATATAGATATTAATGGATAAAGATTTGAAACAGTTACATAACTCATTCACACAGGTCACGTTTGGGAAGTGGATCTCATGGATTCAAGATGAAATCTTTATGCCTTCAGTTGGAGTACAGTGCAGTTTTGCTTGACAGTTTGGTGTGAAATTTATCTCTACATTTATTGTCGCATTCAGTTGTAATCAGCTGTTGTGTGCAGTTTTTCTATGACGAGACTGGCTCAGTTTCAAAATTATGGCTGATTCCAAACTAGTTTAGCACCAGGAGAGTGATGCTGATGGTGGAATATACTTTGAATGTAAATGAGTCCTAATCATTCTCTGCCTCTTGTCTGCAGTGGACCACGGACACTGATCTGCTGAACCTGGCACGTGGTATTGGGGTGAAGGACATTGAGGAAATCAAATTTGCAGAGAACAGAGCTAACGGCCAGTCCAGGGGGTGAGACGGCAGCCGGCAGGCCTGCTTTTCTTGCAACAGATTCTTGAATTTGGGTTCATTAGGGGCGCTGATAAGGACTGGAAGCCAAGAGGGGAACCCAGCCACTGGCTCCGCACATGCAGCGTTAACCAGCACTTTCTGTCCAGGGAATCCATCCATCCACAGGGTGGTGGGGGGGGGTGGAGGTTGTCCCAGGCAACGCAGAACACAAGGCAGGGATACAACCTGAATAGGATGCCACATTCTTTCACACGCTATGGGCAATTAGAGATGCCAGTTAGCCTAACTGCATGTTTTTGGATAGGAGGAAGCAGGAGTAGATCCACACATAGAGCATAGCTAAGGTTCAAACCCCCAGTCTTAGAGGTGTGAGATAACAGTGGGACCCAGTGAGCCACGTTTTCAGTCACACTTTCTCTACAGAGAATCTGTCCTGCTATTTGCCCCTCGACTTTCAGCCCAACCCTGACTTTCCAGATCTCATTGTGTTCCATCATTTCCTGTTCCTGTGACCAGAGGTGGAGATTTCAGGTCCAGACAGTACAAATTCAGACCAAGGTTTTGTTTCAACCTACCAGCTGAGTTACTGTGACTGTGACTCTTTATACTCAACCGGTTGCTTTGAATTTGTACCATCTGGACCTAAATTCTCCACCTCTGCGTACAGTTATGTAGACAGTCAGATGCTGGGTTGAAACCGACTGGCCATTTTTGTGTATTCATATTAATGTCAGTGCAGTGTCTCTGTGTAGGAAATCTTGGCCCCCTCCTGCTGGTCTCGGGGCAGTAGCTGCGGCTCTCTGTGTTTCTCTGTGCTGGCCCCAGTGCCGCAACCCTGTGTCCCTTGCTGCGTCACTGCAGGTATGCCGAGGTGGTGGTGTCCTCAGAGGCCTCCCTGCAGCGTCTCCTGGACACGCTGCCGCAGTGTCACATCGACGGGGAGAAGGTGGACTGCCGCTTCGCCACACGCCAGAACTTCTCCCTCTTCGAGTCTTTGGCCAAGAAACGTGAGTCTGGACGGGATCCTGCACTTCCTTCGGTTTCTACACAAAAACAGCTATGAAATATGGCATAGAGCAGCACCTACTACTCTCCTCACACCACAAGGGAGACACCAGACATCCTTCCATCCATTTTCCAAACTTAAACACCAGGTAAAGATACAATGCTAAAGAGTGAGCTACTGTTCCACACCCCTGGAGTAATCTGACCTAAAAGCATTGTGATATTATGATAGTGGTGGTGAACTGTTCCTGTTCTGTTCAATGGATAGCGATTACTTTCCTCCTCCGATAGAAGCTCGTCTTTCCGCACCCTAGACTTCTGCACAGCGGTGTTTCCCAGTCTGGGGACTCACAGCCAGTCCACGTTTTTGCTCCCTGCCAAACTGTCCGCATTTTTCCAATAAGAACGTGGACTGTGTGCGGATCCCCAAGGACCGGATTGGGCGACGCCGCTGTAGAGACACAGGCCAGTTAAGGCAGCCATAAGAAGCTTGGTCCCTTCTGAGTGAACCCAGTTGCCTCAGGGTCTCCACACTCTGCCTTAGAAGGCTGCTGCAGCGTAACTTTACTCAGTGTGATCTTTATGCAGTTAAACACAATTAGGGTAAAATGATTGTAAAGGTTGTACATTTCTGTTTATACATTTTAAAAGTAAAGACATAAGGACTGAAATCAGTCCTCTTTTTTTTTCTTCTCCTTCTCCATCTCTCAATCCTGTTTTTCCCTCTCCCCTTTCTGTCTATCCAGGTGTTCCACAGCGTTCCAACTCCAGAGAGCCATCAGATTTCGGAGATGGGCGCCCCCCCGGCTCCTCCCCTGATCACCAGCAGCCCTCCCTCCCCCACCCGCAGCTGCCTCACCCTCCAGTCTGCAAGCCCCCCTCTTTGCCCCCACCCTTCTATGCCCGCCCCCCGCCATTTGGACCGGACCC